TAGGTATTATGACCTAGGGAAAAATAAAGAATATGTGTATTAAAGATCATGAAAAAGATTATTATTTTGAGTTCAAAATTAAAAAAGATTTTTCTAAAGACAAGAATGATAAAGTTTAAAAGAAGAATGTGTTTTTGTTTGATAATATAATGTATGTAAAGCATAACATATATTTGTTCAGTAATTTTTACTGAATAGTATTGATTATTTATAATATCAAATTAATATCAAATATTTAAGTGATGGCTGAATACAATATGAATAAAATAACAATAAAATTGGTATATTTGCAATACAAAATTAAGTTTTAAGAATAAAGGTGTTACTAAAAATACTAAGAAATTCATATCTTTGTTTTAATTGGTCGAATGTTATTTACATTTTATGTAAGAATTATACCGTATCATCGAAAAAAATCGGCGTCTAGTTGATTTGGAAATGAACATCGATGACATTCCCTAAATAATTGTACACATAAAATAATTAACTAGAATTTTACAATCTTGGAAAATTTTATATTCTTGAATCTTGTTTCTAAATATTCTAAATTTTTTGATTTTCTTGGGATTTAGGTTCGGAAAAAAACGCTGATTAAGTTTTCATTTGGTTTTTCATTATTTTTATTTGGTTTAAAAAAAACGTTATGGTTAACATTATAGCCTTCATCAGTGTTGTGTCGTATGAAAAAAATAGTGTCCAATATAATCCAAAAAATTACATATAAAATATTCACACCACGCACCACATAATGTTTACTGCGTAATCCATAGTCAATGTAGATAGTTTTAGTGTTAAGAATAATAATTCTTAAAAATATGTGGTCATCTTTTGATAAGTTTATATTAGTTTATTAATTGCAGTAAACATTATGTGGTGTGAATTTATATGTAATTTTTTGGATTATATTCGACACTATTTTTTTCATATGACACAACACTGATGAAGGCTATAGTTAGCCGAAACGTTTTTTTTAAACCAAATAAAAATAATGAAAACCCAAATGAAAACTTAAATCAGCGTTTTTCCCGAACCTAAAAATCCCAAGAAAATCAAAAATGTTAGAATAATTTTACATATAAAATGCCAGCGATCTTCATTTCATAACCATCGCTGACGCCTTTTTTTAGATGATATTGTATTATCTGTAAATATAATTTTTCGAACATTGATACCTGCAAAATATACATATAAATTTTGTGAATGCAAATAATAATACATCACTATTAGTAGATATTAAATGTTTTTTGTTAAATTAGATCGATTTTCAAACCCCAAAATTTAAAATATATTTACATTTTACCCAATATCTTATGTAATACATTATTTGTATATTGTAAAACATTTGCTGCATTTGTATGGTTCATAGTTTATTTGCCAAAGTATTTATTACTATAAATAGGTATATATGTTGTAGTTATTAACTGTATATTATGTATATTTCATGTAAACTATATCATTTTTAAAATACAAACCAAAAATCTGAGGAATAATTATGTTTTCCATGTATTCTACAACATATTTATTAATCCGTAGTATCTAACTAGCGTGACGTCATAAATCTCGCCCCAAGGCTGTTCTATTAGAGACGGCATTGTTTGAGCTTAGGCTCAATAAATTAGTTAAAAAAAGAGAAGAAATTTTGAACCTAACCAACAATTTGTGTGGTCTGTTTTTGTTTATATGTTTTTTTCATTATTTATAGTGATTTACAGTATTTTTTTTTAATTACACGAAGAGTAACACAGCCAGAGAATATTGGTACACCATCAGGTACAGTATCAAGTTTATTATAATGACTTTCTTAGCTTTAAATCAAATGTTTTTTGGCGGTGTTTGCCAATACCACTTTCACGATAGTGTTTGTTAATAGCACTTTTTTCTTGCTGGCTCGTCTGTCAAGGCCTAAGCGTATCACGGCCTTGAATTTTTTCTCCCATCGCGCATAAAGAAGTTTCACTTCAAAAATTGTTTAACAAACCAATAACATTTTAATTTTGAAATTGATCGATATCCGTCAATAAAATTATAAACCTAAATCAAATGCCAATGACAATTACTAAAAACAATGTGTAGTAATTTACGAAATGCCGTAATGACGTCACCAATCTGTTTCATGTGGTTGTCAAATGAAAGAGAGAGTTCGACAATATATGATGTATTGATGTGACGTTGAACGATCGCTGAATAAACAATATCTCAATTATTCTGATCGCCGATCAAACTGGGTCGACGACGCATTTCCAAAATCCACAACACATTTTCCGAATGGCCGGGCCAAATGTGGCCGTCGCGTCGCCGCCGCACCGTGACATCTCCTTTTATCTTTCCATTACGGACGGTTTTATTTATTCCATCGGTCGAGTGGAAAAAGGGTGGACCACCGATGCGTTGCACCTTCTCGCCCTTTAACCTTGCCCATTTTTTACGTATCGATTGAAGGTCAATGCCACCGGCTGTTCGATTTTTTTTACGCGGCGCGGAAGTAGATTCCTTTTTGATGATTTAGTGATTTCGCTCTGGCTGGGGTAAAAAAGCGTGACTCATTTTGGATGAATATACTTTATATAATTGGAATATAGTAGTAAAAGCATATGTCTTTTTTCTCTACAATGGGAATTTTATAGTTATATTTTTTTAATGAGAAGAGTCGAAAAATTGCTTAAACATTGGCAATTCTAGGTCATTATGGTCTATTTCTTAATGGTTGATAGCACAAGACCTCATTATAAATGCAAAAGGAGTTTTATTGTGTACAGTGTGACATGGCCAAAAGATGGGACCAGTTTCATTTTAAGGGTATGTATACCGGGTGCGTCTCAAAAGTGGCTCACCTCTATAACTTTTATATTTTTTTAGTTAAAAAAACGAGATTTTGTATGTTAGTATATGACATATATTAAGATTGATTGACATATTAAATTGTTTTCGGTCACTTCCTCTTTCATCGGAAATGACTACAACTTTTGATTTTTAAATGGCACCCTCGGTATTTTTTTACTTTATTCGATAGAAAATAACACTCTGAATAGAATGACATATCATATGTTAACTTTTGACATTTTCACATATGGTTTACTTGAAATTATATCTTGCGGTTCGTAACGAAAATTTGACTCGAAATACCAAGTGTGTGGTATCAAATTATTCGTAAAAAAATTCTTTTTCCAAATATACTAATGAGCCACCCTCGTTCCATTTGAAAAAATTGAGATATGATTAAAAATACGATTTGAGCATTTTCTAACTGGCCAGGATAAGATACTAAAAACATTAGACGATCAAATCTATTTTTCCAAGGCTCCTTGATTAAGAATTAGTGTTTTTAACATATCCATGGCACTCTAGATTGAATTTATGGCACTCTAGATTGAATTTATACGATTTTTTATTAAGCGAGAATGTCAAAAGTTAACATATGATATGTCACTCTATTCAGAATGTCATTTTCTATCGAATAAAGTAAAAAAATACCGAGGGTGCCATTTAAAAATCAAAAGTTGTAGTCATTTCCGGTGACACAGGAAGTGACCAAAAACAATTAAATACGTCAATAAATCCTAATTTATGTCATACACTAACATACCAAATCTCGTTTTTTTTTATTTGAAAAAATAAAAAAGTTATAGGGGTGAGCCACTTTTGAGACGCACCCCGTATATTCCAATGAAATTCGAACAGCTTTAGCACATTTGTAAATGGACACATCCGGTACGTTTGCCGAGAACAATAGGTAAGAGATATTTTTAAGCCCTGACTGCACCACTGTCAGGTATTAGAGTTTTAAGATTTACTTAAGTTTTGTTAAAATATATTTTGTTACAGAACGTAATAATTAATTTTGATTACTTTTTTAATTTAATTTTGAAACGCCATATTTTTTGATGTTGTTAAAGTATCACATTTTCCGATAACTATTACCACCCTTGCCTTTTCATAGCATTGAACTAATTAAATTTTGTGCTTCTTTAACGTTTTAAAACAGCAAAAAATATGACGTTAATTAAATTTTGTCGATTATAATCTATCAAATAATGAAAAATAAATTATATTACCATAGAAACGCGTTTTGAGTTTTAGGACTTTTTTTAAATTTAACTATATTTTCAATTTTTTTTTATTTTTTTTTCTAAAACGGAATGGAAATTTGGAAATGTATAAACGGGATTAACCATTTTACAACAAGCAAAAATTTTTATGAAGAATGCATTTTTCTCAAAATATCAATAATAAAAAAGTTGTTCCTCTTGTAAAGACAATCTGGAGACATACTGTATGTGAAAAAAATCATCTATTATTTTTCATAATTTTTGAGACGTATGAACATTTTGTGTTTATGAATAAAACTCAATCCTTACCAAAGACTTTTAATGAAAACAACACCAAACATGATAATGAAGTTTTTGTTCCCAGCATAATACCTCCTCAGAACATTACAGTTCCTCCTTTATGTCTTGGTACAGATTTGGCAGTCTGGAATCTCGCTCGTCTTCCTGGAGCTCTGAGATCTCGAATTCGATGGTCATCTGATCTTAGGCCAATTCTGGTCTCATCCGAAAAAAAAACATTTTGTCAATTCTCAGTTGTCTAGTTTTGATGTTGAAGGCACAAATTTAGCCGGTCAATTTTGTTTTGTCGAGATAACTGTGGGACCCATAACTCTCTCTTACTGTACAACCCTCGAGCAAGAAGCCTTTTTCTTATGGTTTCAACTGAAATGTTCACACCTGTAGCTGCTAGAAGTTGTCTTTGTAGCACTGGTTTGAGAAACATTGAGATTTCTTCTAGCAATTTGGCACACAAAGTGGTCTTGTTGTGACTCTTTGACGACTTTGTCTACCTGTTTTTGAGTGTTCCTAGTTCCAAGTACCTTAAGCACACCTTAGCACATGTAAATCCAACTTAGGCATTTTTTATGGATCGATTGAAAATTACCGGACAATGGTAATTTTACTACTGAACACAAAAATCACAAGAAAATAAGTTAAGTATAAAGTCCGGTTCTACAGCGTGATCCGCCTGCCGGTTCCTTGCCGCCATTGCCTTCTGTCCATCCAGTCATCGGCTTGTAAATTGCGCAATGACATTGCCTTTGTTACCCCCTTTAACCATGTCTCTCGGGGTCTTCCTCGTTTTCTTTTTCCAGTTGGGATCCATTTCATTATATTCTTTGGAAGCCTTTCTTCTCCCATTCTGTTTACATGCCCATACCAAATTAATTGTTTTTTTTGGATTTCTTCTATGATGGTTATCTCTTTCTTCGTTATTCTCCTTATTTCTTCATTTCGCACTTTTTCCAATTTTGATTTTCTTGCCGATCTTCTGAGGAAGTCCATTTCAGTTGCTAAAAGCTTTCCTTCCATAGACTTGCTCATCTGCCATCCTTCAGCGCCATAGGTAAGTGTGCTCTTAACTATAGTGTCATATGTATATGCGGGTTTTTGTTGTGGTATTTATATTTTTTTGCCAAAGAATAGAATTTAGTGCCCCTGTAATGTTTCTGGCTTTGTTGATTCTATTATTGATGGTATTGTCGCTTTTTCCATTAGTATGTATTCCATTATTATGTACCTAGGTATGTGAATTCTGTACATGATTTTATTTTGTTTCCGTTTTCCATTTGTAGGTCTTTTCCTTTGTAGCCCACGCATAGATATTCTGTCTTTTTAAAATTTATTTGTAAACCCCATCTATCATACTCCTCATTTAATTTTCTAAACATGTACTCAATGTCATCTACATCTCGGGCCAGTATTACTTGATCGTCGGCGTAGTGAATGGTATATATTGTTTTATTTTCGAGTGGTATGCCCATTCCACTACATTTTCGTCTCCATTGTTCCAATGCTGCATCTAAGTAAATATTGAATAAAATTGGAGATAGACCACATCCTTGTCGGAGGCCCTTACTTATATTAAATAGTGTTGTGAGTTCGGCTCCAATTTTAACTCGTGCTAGCGGGTTCTTGTAGATTTCCTTTATTGCTTTTATTAGGGTAATATTTATTGGTGACCGGTCGAGTACGTGAAAAAGTTGTTTTATTGGGATAGAATCATACGCTTTGGTTAGGTCTACAAAAATCATGTGTATCTCTCCACCTATAGCTAACACTTTCTCACTTAGTTGTGTTATGCAGAAAATATTATCTACCGTTGAGCGACCGGCTCTGAAACCCGACTGCTCTTCTGTCTGGTACAAATCATAGTCATTTGTTATTAATGTGCTAAGTATTTTTCCATAGAGTCTATACAATGAACAGTTAACAGAAATACCTATATAATTCTCACATATGTTAATTGCGCCTTTTTTATGTATTGGAGTTATCCATCCTTCGTTCCATTCCTGTGGTATTTGTTGACCATTGATACAATTTTCAAAGAGTGTTTTAATAATATTGTGAAGTTTTGGTGTGCCACATTTTATTAATTCATTGGGGATTCCTCCTGGGCCGGCTGATCTTTTATTTTTAAGTTGGGTAATTGCCGTTTTTAATTGATCTAATTCGATGTTAATTTTTTCTCCTTCTAAATTAAATGGTAGTTCTTCTGGTTGTAATTTATATTCATCTCTGTGTTCATTTAACATTTTTTCGAAATATTCCTTCCAGCTATCTTTCGCAATTACATTAAGTTTTAGCTTGGTCTTCTTATTATTTCAAATGGAATTTATGAATTTCCACGATTCTGATGTTCTTCTTCCTCCTATATAGCTTTCTAACTCTTGGCATCGTTTTTCCCATTGGTTATTCTTCTCTTCCAAAATTATCTTCTTAAATTTTGCTCTTTGGTGTTTATAAGCTAAGTAATCCGTATCTTGTTTAGTTTGTAGCCATTTGAAGTACAATTTTTGTTTTTGGTTTTTCTGCTCCTGTAAGTTATTATTCCACCAAAATTTTTTGTTGTTGTTGCATGCTGTTTGTTCTCCCAATGCCTCCATAGCGGCTACATTTATTGCCGATTTTATGTGTTCATATATCATTTCTGTCGTTTCATTTTCAAAATCATCTCTCAATTTTTGATCTAGTTTTTTGTTTCACTATGAGGTAGTCAATAATTGATTTTAGGTGTCTTGTTTCTTGTCTCCAAGTAAACTTGTGAATGTCCCTGTGTGCAAAGTATCCGTTCATGATCTTTAATTCGTGTTCGCATAGATTAATTAAGCGTCGTCCATTTTCATTCTCTGTTTCTTCACCATGTCTACCAACTATATGATGGTTAAGTCTTCGTCCTACTCTGGCATTAAGATCTCCAATCAACACAATTTCTCTGGTACTTCCAATGTCTATGATTGTTTGATTTAGTAATTCCGATTTATTGCATGTTTTACACACCTCACTGTCCTCACTCGAATCATCCTCGCCCGTATTGCCGGCGGGCGGCATTGTTTTAGTTTTTGTTTATCGATGCTGTATCAAAAATACGCATATTACTTTACTTAGAATAACTCGCGCACGACGTTGTTAACCGGTCAACGGCTAGAACTGAACTGAAGTTAGTTATAAACTTTTAATATTTCGAGTGGATCAGCAATGAAATTCCTTTACAGGCCCGTTTTTCTTTTGGTACTCCGCTGTAAACATGTATATAATCTCCGACCTGTTCAATACCTTGTCCTTTCTTTTTTGTTTCACTCAAAGACGCAATGTCAATATTTAGTTTTTTTAGTTCTTTCACTACTTCTTTCAATTTTCCTCTAATACTTTGTGTATTCCATATACCAATTTTCATAGTCCTATTTCTTTGCGGTGGTCATTTTCCAGTTGATCCGTTTGGGTTCCGAGGCGGTTTGCAAGCGGTTAAAGGCGTTCTAGAACAGTCATCAACAACCAATAGCTTCCTCCTCGTAGATGTTTTGGTCTCACAACAAACAGCTCCACTTTTTCTCTCTTTCAGAACTCTATCAATCGTAGCTACACCGATTCCCGTAATATTTGAACATTTCGTAACTAGATTTATCACAGTAGCCGAGGGATCTTGATGCACAAAGAAATCATGAACACTTAAAAGTAGTTTTCGCTGTAAAATCAAGAATACCTTTTATTTCTTATATTATCTTCCTTGAAATAAATATCTCCATGTTTTGAAATAAATATCTCCAAATAAACACAGCCAAGTAGACACAGCGGTACTGAATGCGCGAAATTTTTGACAGGTAGGTATAAAATAAAGTGTATTTTTAAAGGTTACATTTTGTCAACCAATTTTGCATTAACATTTATAATTTTCATGGTACTTGCTCATGGTGTTAAATTTGAATCACCATGTACAATGTACACAGGTAACATAACTTTTTGGTATACGTAGTTAAATATATCAAACGATCCAGTTAGCTCCAAAAGGAATACAGTTTTCTTTATTTTACTAGCTCAATATCGAACTGAAGAAAAAGAAAAAAGGAGACTAACAAGGCACAAATACACTTTTCTCTAAAAATATTAGATTTATTGTTTCGGGCGCGTCTTTTTTCATTTTTTTCACAAAAAAAGGCAAAGGAAAACTGAAGGAAGTTTTTCCACTGTCGTTCGTGCCGGTGACAACAAACGAAAAACTCGTAATTGGCCGCTTAAGGAGCACCTAAGAAACCGAAAGTGACATGATACCCTTGTTGCGTGTTCGCTGGCACCTGCTGTACAGTTGCTATAGTAACACTCATCCGGGGATGAAAAAAACCGAGGGTGAAAAAAACGTGGGGGTGACTCAAATAAAAAAACGGATCAATATTAACTCTTTCTCTCTACCGTCGTTGCCCTTGCGAGGACCGTTCCTGCTACTGCATAAATTTCAGCAGACCTGGAAAGTTGGAGAGCCTCTCCCAAGATAAGAGCGTTTTAAACAGAATTTAAGGTTGAGAATTTAGTATCTTATTTTACCCTTGTTAGCTTTGATACAAATTTAAGTTGTAAAAAGTTATCATGAATTTCAAATATACAGGGTGGCCAGGGTAATTTTTTTTCAGAAAATTCAAAAACACGTCAATTTTGTTTGTGAGGGGGACAACTATTGCCCCAAAAATTATTGCAAAATCTTCAACCCTCTAAGCGGGGGTGTCATCCCCCGATTTTTTTCAAATGGGAAGGGGGACCAAGTGGTACCGCAATGAAAAGGGCTTTCTATTCTCTATACTTTCCTGCTTCGTTTTTGAAGATTGGTCGAGTCGTTGGGAAAATATGAAAGATTGAAATTTGAAAAGTTTTTTAAACATTTATCAGAGTAAATGATAAGGATAAATTCCTTCGACCAATTTGCTGGTTTTTCTTATTATTTCTAGATGTTTGCAATCGGGTTGCGCAGATATTCAATGAACGCCATCCTGAAAAACAACTTTATGGTAAAATTGTTCGCCAGTTAGTAGCAAAATTTCGCGAAACTGGTTCCGTTATGAATAAAAAGAGGCAGAGGGAAAATCCTGTAGTAAATGAAGCTATGGAGGTATTCGTATTGGGCCAAGTTGCCATAGACAGTATTCTGAGTACAAGAAAATTCGCCAATGAGACCGGCGGGAATCGTACAAGTTTCCAAAGGATATTAAAAAAACACAAGTTCCACCCGTACAAAATTCAGTTGGTACAAGAACTCAACGAAGATGATTTTGATCATTGCTTGCAATTTTGTGAAGCTATGAGTGAACGAGTGGCGAATGATAATAATTTCCTATTTAATGTGTGTTTTTCGGATGAGTGTACTTTCTTTTTGAACGGTGTAGTTAATCGGCACAACTGTCGGTACTCGGCTGAGGACAACCCCAGGGTTTTTCACGAGGTGCCCAAACAAAACCCTCAGAAATTGAACGTGTGGGCTGGTACTTTTGGAAATTCTATTGTGGATCAGTTTAACGATATTGAGAACTTCAACGCACAGTTGTCACAGTTCAAAGTCACAGAACAGCTATCTAGCAACTACCGCACCTGATCGTTCAACCTTGTGGCAAGTGAAAAAATGCAACCAAACATCTAGAAATAATAAGAAAAAAACTCAAATTGGTAGAAGGAATTTCTCCTTATCATTTACTCTGATAAATGTTTAAATAAATTTTTCAAATTTCAATCCTTCATATTTTCTCAATGACTGGACCGATTTTCAAAAATGAGGCGGGGAAATATAGAGAATAGAAAGCTCTTTTCATTGCAGCGCCACCTGACCCCCCTTCCCATTTGAAAAAAGTTGGTGGATGACACCCCCGCTCAGAAGGTTGAAGATTTTGCAATCGTTTTTGGGTCAAAAGTTGTCCCCCTCACAAACAAAATTGACGTGTTTTTGGATTTTTTGAAAAAAAGAATACCCTGGCCGTTATGCCTTGCGGAACGTTTTCGATGGGCCACCCTGTATATGCAATTACATAGAAGGTTAATATACCGGATGTGTCTCAAAAGGGGCT